CCCAGCTCCACTCCTCTAGACTTTCTAACTTCGTCTTCCCTCTCACGAGTCGCCTTTTGCCCCATGTCTCTTTTTTCTTTAATGTTAGCTTTATTCCATTGCTGGAAATGGCTGGTTCCTAGACACTGTCTGCCAATACAATGGTTACCTATGATATCTCTTAACTTTAAACTGCTCTCCGCATTCTCTACAACTTCCTCTGCCGACCACTTACGTCCTGTTTGTATTTCAATACCGGCTTGGCTAACCTTCCTATCTTTAGAATCTCTTATCGTCATTACCAGCCTGCATTTTGCAATCTTAAACTTCTCTACCACTGAAGATTTTGGTAGCTGCAACTGCCCAGATCTAATGTACAGGCCTATTGATGTAAAACTTGGTGGAACTTTCCCAGCCATTTCCGCAAATGTTTATTTATCCTCCTCTCCATTGCCTCAACCGTGGTAAGGGGGAGTTCATACAGAGTCAGAAGCCATATAAGTCTAGGGAGCATCCCATACTGGCTGTCTCTTATACACATCTAGATGTGTATAAGAGACAGATATTATTGATAGTAACAATAACAATTATATATAATTATATATATATATATATATATATATATAATTGATAGCAACAATAACAATTATATATGTATATATACCTATTTTATATATTTTAATGTGCTTTGATATTATATATATTTAGATATATATTTATATAATGATTTATTAAATACTTTTTACTATCATTACTCATTCCTAAGCACATTCTATGTATTTTAATGTAATGTATAATGTAATATATATATATAATTATATATATATATATATATACTATTTAAATACATCTAAAATGCCACAGATTGAGGCTCTTCCTCTTTCTTCCGCTACATCACTCACCTTCACAAATTTAGGACTAATCACATTGATAATGGCTCATCACAGGTTGCTTATCACAAACTGACCAATGTAGAAATCCTCAGACGGCGTCTAACAAACACGCAGCGTTTCAACCCTTAACCATAACGCCTTCTTGTTGGTGGGTCAGTAGTGTTGGCCGAACACTACTTCTCTAATTTGGTCTCCAGTTCATATCCTCTTGTTTCATCCACAACTAGCAGGATGCCTTCTTCTCCTAGTTTTTTTACTGCTCGCTTTCTTTCATTTCCTGATAACCCGATGGCAGTAATGAACTTCCAAACTGATTGCGCTGGGAACCCTCCGCAACCGACCTCAATCGGGTACAGCCATGTTTGCCATCCCTTCTCTTTGCAGCTGTCCAGGAGGTCCTGATATTTGGCCCTCTTCCTCTCATATGCAATCTCGCAATTCTCTTCCCAAGGGACTGAGAGCGCCACCATTATTAACTTCTTTGATTTAGTAGACCACAGAACTGCGTCCGGTCTTAATGTTGTGTATACGACTTGAGGAAATTGTAATCTCTTCCCCAAATCAACCTGAAATTCCCATGTATGCGCTAATTGTAGAATAGTTTCCCTTGTTTCCTTCATGGTTGGTGTTTTCTCTCCTCTCTTGACAAAAGCAATTGAAGATGGTTTATTTATTCTGCGTGGTCGTTTCTGGACGTTCTTAGTCCACTGTCTGTGCAAACGCCTGTAGAACATTGTCATGCCTCCACCTATATAACGCCCTTGTGTTAAAGCCGTTTTACATCCAGACAATATATGGGAAAGTGTTCCCCTCTCAACACAAAGCTTACACAACGGATCTTCTTTCAGGCCAAACAAACAAAGGTTGGTTGGTGTAGGTAGCGTATCATATACTGATAGGAGGAAAAACGAGATACGATATGGTTCCATTCTCCACACTTCTGCCCAAGTTAATCTTCTCTGCGGTAGCTCCCATTTCGTCCACGCCCCCTGTGCTCCCAGCTCCACTCCTCTAGATTTTCTAACTTCGTCTTCCCTCTCACGAGTCGCCTTTTGCCCCATGTCTCTTTTTTCTTTAATGTTAGCTTTATTCCATTGCTGGAAATGGCTGGTTCCTAGACACTGTCTGCCAATACAATGGTTACCTATGATATCTCTTAACTTTAAACTGCTCTCCGCATTCTCTACAACTTCCTCTGCCGACCACTTACGTCCTGTTTGTATTTCAATACCGGCTTGGCTAACCTTCCTATCTTTAGAATCTCTTATCGTCATTACCAGCCTGCATTTTGCAATCTTAAACTTCTCTACCACTGAAGATTTTGGTAGCTGCAACTGCCCAGATCTAATGTACAGGCCTATTGATGTAAAACTTGGTGGAACTTTCCCAGCCATTTCCGCAAATGTTTATTTATCCTCCTCTCCATTGCCTCAACCGTGGTAAGGGGGAGTTCATACAGAGTCAGAAGCCATATAAGTCTAGGGAGCATCCCATACTGGTACACCCATACTTTTTCTGGATCCGCTTCAACCTTATTCTGCTTGGTCGACCAGCTTGTGTATACTACAAGTATCTTTAAGTGTCTGGTCAAACCACTTCCCCAAACACCAAACCTCTTGACTTTTTTGGTTTAAATTTCATTCTTGCCCATGTTGTAGACTTGTCCAGCTCTTCCATTACCCATCTTGCTTGTACGTGGGTAGTAGTTGTCACTGTTAGATCGTCCATAAAACCTCTGATCGACGGTTGGCAAATTCCAGACTCCATTCTTGGACCCTTTGCTTTCTTCCCAGCTGCTGAAATAATTAGATTCATCCCCATAATGAAAAGTATCAGGGAGATTGTGCAGCCTGTAACTATCCCATTTTCCAAATTCTGCCAATGCGTTGTAAATCTTGCAGTGCTGAGTCTGATCTTAACTCCTCCAAAGTAACTTTTGATCATGTTAATGATGTGGGCAGGAATGAAATAATGCTCTAGTGCTGCTTCAGTCAATTTGTGTGGAATGGATCAATATGCATTTGCCAGGTCCAGTCAAACCACTGTTATATCACCTCGTTTCGACTTCACTTCATGGATCAACTGTGACAGGACACTTGTATGTTCCAGGCACCCTGGAAAACCAGGTATACCACCTTTTTAAATAGACGTGTCAATGTATCCATTTTCTGCCAAATATGTTGTTAGTCTTCTTGCTAACACGGAGAAAAATATCTTTCCTTCATCAACGTTAAGCAATGATATTGTTCTAAATTGGTTAATCGTTACTGAATCTTTTTCCTTTTGAATAAGACATCCATTTACCTCTTTCCATCTCATTGGTATGACTCCCTTTTTTCACACTACCAGTAGTAATCTCCATAGCCGTCTTAATAGTTTTGAGCATTTCTTGTACACCTTGTAAGGAATACCATTAGGGCCTTGAGCTGACTTCGCTCTTGCCTTCCTTACAATTTCCTGGACTCCTTTCCATGATGGTTGGTCCTCGTTTAATTCCTTTTTAGGTCTCTCTATACTAGTCTTGGTATTCTCAGATTTTCAACTAGGTCTTTGTCTCTATTCGCATCACTATGTGTTTCTCGAAGATACTCCTCTACCTCCTCCTTTGAACTACTTAGTGTGCCATTTTTGGATTTGTCATCAGCGTTTGATACAATTGATCACGCTTTATTGCTGAACACATTTAAAGAATCTTTTGGCATTTCTGACAAAGCTCTCCATTTGCTGTACTCTATACCTTGATTATAGGTCATGTCGTGTTAACGTTGGGTCGGAATTCTACAACACATTCCCTTTGAAGTATGGCGTTCCGCAAGGTAGCGTACTTGGACCCCTTTTGTTTATCTGCTACACTTCTGGTCTTTCTAACATAATCACTAGACATGGTTTAAATTTTCACTTCTTTGCTAATGACATACAGCTTTGGAAACATGTTGATCTTATTAACACTACTGACATAGCCTCGACTCTTTATTCAATAGAGTCTTGTATTTCTTCTATTATCTAATGGACGACTACAATGAAACTCAAGCTCAACCCTCACAAAACTGAACTACTTACTATATTTCCAAAATCTAGAAGCATTCACTCTTTTCCCCCAATTCAGATATCCGTAGAGGGTGCCAATATACCGTCGTCAACTACAGCACGAAATTTAGGTGTACTGTTTGACAATCAGTTTAACTTTCAAAACCACATTTCATCTATCTGTAAATCTGGATATTTTCACCTTAGACGAATTCGATCTATTCGTCCATATATTTCACGCTCCGCTGCTGAAGTACTTGTCCATGCTTTTATCACCTCTAAAATTGATTTCTTTAACTCTTTATTGTATGGGACCTCTATTATTCAATTAAGACCCTTACAAATGCTTCAAAACTCAGCAGCACGTGTTGTCTGTCTCACTAAACTTCGTGATCATGTTTCACATATCCTCAAAGACCTTCATTGGCTACCGATATGTAAACGCCTAAACTTCAAAATTATTCTTCTCACTCATAAATGCATATATGGCTACGCCCCACACTATATTTCTTCATCAATCTCACAACAATTATCTTCACGTTCCACAAGACAGTCAAATTCTCTCAGGTTATCTGTCCCCAGAGTGCTGCATGTTCGTACTGGCGAACGGTCTTTCTCTTTTGCTGCTCCGAAATTATGGAACTCTCTTCCACCTAATCTTAAATCAACTTCTGATACTAATGCATTCAAGACCCTCCTTAAAACCTATCAATAACTCTTTCTTCTTTAAGCGCCAGTGACAAACAATTATTTTTTGTCAACAGGCGCTATATACAAATTTTCCGATTTATTATTATTATTATTTTTCGTCTCTCCCAACAAGGTTTTTGTTAACCTGTATGGATCTTTGATAAATTTCGCCCTCTTCCTCGCTCGGGTTTTTCGGCGTTTCCGCATACTCTCAGTCTTCTTCAACTTACACAGTTGACCTCTGAGTTCACTTGTTTATTCTTTAATTCCTACCTTTGCCTCTTCACCAGCTTTCTTAAACTGCTTATTGAGTATCTTTATCTCCTTTCTTAATAGTTTAATATCTCTCTCTCCCTTCTGTTTTCTGTATATACTTTCCTAGCCACCTTCTTCTCCTCTTTCGTTCCAAACCGTTCTTTTGCAAGACTGTGAGTGAATTCTGTCAAACTGTTTAGGTTTTTCTCTACATTTCCAGCTTGTGTGTCCTGAAGTATTATCTCCAGATCTGCATCAAACTGAGCCCACTTCTCAATCCTTTCTCGCTTGACCTGCTGGTCATCGCTTTGGGACTCGTTCGCAAATGTATTTGCTGGAAGCTCGCCCAATATATCTGATATGCGGACTTGCTCGTCATCTATATCTTCTGCCGATTCCGGAGACTGAGGGTAAATTTGATCCTCTTGGGATCTACATTTTGTTCTGTTTTTGTGAATTTGTAGTCCTCTACTGATTATGTTCGCTGCTTGGCATATCATTGGCCTTTGGCCTATACCAAAGTCAAATATTCTTTCTTTTTTCTTTAAATAGGTACTGAGCCTTTCATGAGGCAATTGAATTTAAAATAATTGCTAACCGTAGGCTTAATCTTAATAAAAGAAAATAAATAAATAAAAACCCGCGATCAAAATGAAATTTAAACTAAATTAATGGGTAAGATAAGAAATGAAGAACTCCATCTTGGAGAATATTGTCTGGAAGATCCGAATGATAATTTGTTCATTGCTTATCAGCCCAATAAAATGCAATTAAATAATAAAATACACAGTAGCCTACAGTGTAGGCTGCCAGTCGGTGTGTATATAATGCCATTAAAATATACTACCCTTTTATGCACTGTCCCCACCTCCCCATTTCCGCTTCCGCAAAGTGGAGTAATATTCCATATTCAGAATTTTCGTTTTAATTTACTTTAACCTAACGAAATTCCATTTATTCGCCAATCAAATTGTTAACGTTAAACACTCCCATGCAAAAAGACTGAATTGTGTTGGGTTTGTCGTCTTTCTTTAGCTTACGGTTATCTTTCTAAACACGATTTCCTTGATTATTTTTTATTGAAGTTTCAACCAATGAAAGTGTGTTATTTTTTTATCTTATTTATAAATATCTATTGTATGTTTTTTTTTCTATATTTTGATTAGGCCCCTATTTTGTTGTTTCGTTGATATTCATTATTATAATTACTTAATATTGCTTTTATATAATCGTTTTGCATTTTAAATTACGATAATTGTGTTCAAATCCTTTAATTGGCGGAAATAAATCCTTAAAATTTAATATCTTTCTAATACCAGTCATAATGCTTCATAACGAGAGTTAGTTTATAATAGTATGTGCATTGGCCTAGGTTTGGGTAGGTGCGAATTTGTAGAGGGTGGGCCTAATGGCTGTTGGGGTGGGGGTGTGCCTATGGGGAAAACCTTACTGGGATCGAGGTAGCGGAGGCATTTTTGATAATTTGAGGTCTTATATAATGGATTTATGAAGACGCATCTATAGTTTAGAGTTTTAGATCTAGGAATATTCAGGACTTAAGGATGAAAATCACATATGGAAACGTTGTATCATTTGCTCTCCAAGGTCGCCTTAACCATTGGAGAAAACTGGATTTTTTTTCACAAAAATACATTTTTGGTACAAAATCTATGATTTTCTTGTAATGGCCCAAGCGATTATGTTGTAAAAATATTAATCTACCAATTCGTGAAGAAAAAATGAAAAAAATCCCTACAGTTTTGTCGGAATACGCCAATTTATAACAGCTCTTCACGCCGATTTAGATAGGGAATTTCAAGAAATTTTAGGTTTTTGGCTGTTCCGAGCTCGTTTCTTACTCCCTCACTCACAGACTATTGCTTTGTTCGAATTGGCCCAAGTGGATTCATGGAGGGAATATAATAAGCTTGAAGCTGATATAAAATTTAGTATGATTGGTTGGGTAGTTTTTATAGGAAAATAAGAAAATATAAAATCCATCCAATCCACGATTGCTTCTCATGGGGTCAAAAACCTCTCAAGCGTTATAGTCCGATTCACTGGTATGACGTCATACTTCTGTTCGCAGTGTTTGACATCTTTCTTCATGTAATTTGGCCTAATTTAGTTATCAGTTGGATTTTTTGTGTGCTTATATTACCTTTATTAAAAAACAAACGTCCCAAGATAAGATACTTGCAGCAATTAGGCTATATTTCTGCAAAAAAAACGTCATCACTCTGACTGAAATACTAGAAGAGCAGTGATGGGAATTGAACCTTGAACCCAGAGATCTCAACGGTTCAGCTCACACATAGTGGATACCATCAGTTCACACATAGTGGATACCATCAGTCAAGCCGACTAAAGCTACACTGCTCTGCCACGTAATGTGAAGATGATTGATAGGTCTAACAGATTC